GACAACAAGTTCTTTATAACAGTAATAATAATAATAATAATAATAATAATAATAATAATAATAATAATAATAATAATAATAATAATAATAATAATAATAATAATAATAATAATAATAATAATAATAATAATAATAATAATAATTATAATAATAATAATAATAATAATAATAATAATAATAATAATAATAATAATAATAATAATAATAATAATGTATTGTAGTCTACGATAATTAGTTAATTCAAAAGTCTTACAAGTGAAACTGCATCTCGTGAGACGAGAGCTAATATATCGGCACAAGAAACGACACCGGGGCACTTCTTTTCCACCGCGGATTTCACTTTATCGATAGATCCGAATCCTCTAAGCGATAGATTGGGAAATGAATCTTTCTCAGCTTGGTTGTTTGTTGTTGAGTTCAGTAGAATAGAACCATCACACCCTTTGAAAAACAATTTAATTATTATTAGTACATTAACATATATGACATTCTTCAACAAAAATCATAAACAATATAATGTTTACATATATTTTATTGATCAATTTCAAAATTGACATAAAACTTAAAATATTTATCGTTCCATGAAAAAAATGCGAGTATTAGATATGTACTAATTGGCGCTATATATATATATATAGAGAGAGAGAGAGAGAGAGAGAGAGCTTACCCTAACAAAACAATCATGGAAATGCATTCTGAGAATAGGAGCAGCAAGAGTTGGAGCAAGAGAAATAATATTTGCCGTTTCCTTTTTCACAATCGCCTCAGCAGATGGACACGTCTTCTTGTAGAAGCCGAGTTTCAACCCTTGAGCATTACATATATTGAATATGCCGACGAAAACAAGAAACACGACAACTTGCTTAGTAAAAGCCATTGGAAAATCTCAAACTAAATGTTTGTTGTATTCTTATTTTGGTTGGTGTGTAATGAAGATCATTCATGCATGTCTATATATATATATATATATATATATATATATACTAAAACAATCTGGGAAGTAACAGAGCTTCAACATAATTAATTGATCTGTTAATAGTTGTCAGTTATAATCATATAAGTTGTCAATTTAATTAATATCAAAAGTGAGGGTTGACATAGAGTATAATAAGGTATTTACATATCTGCAAATGTGTTGTAATGTATCCTTTATCACCTATAGTGATCGAATGAGGGCCATCATTTAGATAATTTATTTTGGTATAATTAATTGTTTGAGTTTATTTTGTTAGCATGGGTTTGGTAGCAATTGTCCATGTGGGTAGTTTCGGGTATGGGTGGCCCACAACTGATAACTTGTGAGGTCCTACAAGTGGTATTAGAGCCAATGCCATGGGTTCGATTCCCAGCTAGCTCAATTGTTTTGGGGGAGATTGTTAGCTCGGGTTTGGCGGCATGTGGGACGTTTAAGAGTTATTATGTTGAGTTTGGCAGAAGTGGGACGTTTAAGAAATGTTTCGAAAACCTCAATTGCTTGATGGGCGGAGATTGTTAGCTTGAGTTTGGCAGCAAGCGAGACGTTTTAGAATTAGTTTGAGTTTCGCAGCAAGTGGGACGTTTAAGATATGTTTCGAAAACCGAAACGCTATGACGCCTGTCGGAAATGTTTTGGGACCGTTTACGTAAATATTTAAAAGTTTTGGGGATGTTTCTGCTAGTAATGAAAAAATAAATAATTTATGACCACTGGTCTAATTAATAAATAATAAAAGAAATTAAAAACTTGACCTTTATGCATGTTACCATTGAATAGTTAATTAGTGCATGCACTATCATGATCTAACTCAATGGAATCTTCAATTTTCTTTTTAATTAATTTATAGTTATATCAATCATATCGACTATAAAATATAGTAGTGCCAACAACACTCCAGACATCCCTACTTGTCATAAAACATGTACTCATTGTTAAAATTCAAACAGATCTTATTTGCATGAATTTATTTATTATTTATTAAATGAAAAATGGATAACATTCAGACGACATAATAATAATAAAAAAAAATAATAAGAAATTCATTTATCATCCATTACATTTCACGATCAATTATATGGCGAGCACAAACCATTATTGGCCAAATATATATATATATATATATATATATATATATATATATATATATATATATATATATATATATACTTATATTTTTTATGTGTGAAAAAAATATTTTTCTATTATATAAAAAAAATTTATTCTTCAATTGTTGAAAAAACAATATATTCGATTTATAAATTTTAAAGGTTAGTTTAAAAATATATACAATTTAAAAATCTTTATTTTATTCAAACAAAGATTATTTCATACATTTCTAACAGTTTTTTTTATAAAAAAAATACTTAGATATAGATTAATACTTTCAATACTTTATTGATGATGAAATTTAAATTAATAAATATTGATCTATATTATTTCATTAAAAATAAAAAAATAAAAAAAATAAAGAGGATAAAAAAGGTATACAATGCTCTGTTTTAATGTGACCCTTATATCCAGTCTTTCGTAATATAACTTAAAATTCTCAATTTTCAATAAATCTTTGTTAATGTATACATTTTCTTAAGGGTGCAAATTTAGATCGGATGGTCTGTTTTAATAAGAAAATCGGATGCCATAGGATGATTGACACGTGGATAATTTCAATTAAAATATAATTAGTATTCTAATAATTGGAAAAAAAAAAAAAAAGGAAAAAAGAAAACCCCAGCAGAACCCTTAACCCCTCTAACCCTAATTATAATAGGGTGATTTATTAAGAGTTAGACTTAAAAGTGGCACATGTCAAAAAATTAGTGGAATCCGATTTATATTAAATATATATGGGCTCATCCGCTCAGAATTTAATCTCTTTTCTTAATCATATAATGAAAAATTAAAAGAGGTTAACAAAAAAATGAATATAATCATTGCAATATAAAAAGTAGTAATGTTAATAAAACATTAATCTCCGCGCCTTCACGGAACTTCTTCTGCTCGGACAGAAGATTTGCAAAATTCCTCAATAGCGTTTCATTTGTCTCTTCGTCGACGGTTTGATCAAATTGCGTGAATGTTATATATGTGTCGCTCTTGTAACAAACGGACAGCGGCTTCAACTAACGAGATTATCATCCATATTAATCAAATCCGGCTTATAGTCCTATAAAAAATAAATAATGATGATAATAAAAATAAAAAATACTAACTTGATAAGTGGTAAAACTTGCTAACTGTCCGGTTTTCATATCAGTATATGGTATAATCAAATTTTTACTTAAAACATTTTCCAGGCCCCATGAATTATATGGAGAACCGGCCACTAATTAAACTCTTGACTTTCATTCCTATCTGAACCAGTAAGTTCCTAAACAAGATAAACAATTTTCATTTTTAAATTGGGCGTAAAAAAAAAAAAAAAAAAAAACCTCGGCTTGAAAAATAGATTCGGAATAGTCGACGAAGAAATTTTGTAAATCATTGGCCTCAAACATCGGGTTGCCCATTAAATTAGGTAATGCCAATAATGATGCGATGACACCACCGGAGTTAGTCCGGCGATGCAATCAAAGTAAGATGCAAGTCGTGCATCTGGACCATCCAGCTCCTGGTGCATAATAATAATAATAATAATAATAATAATAATAATAATAATAATAATAATAATAATAATAATAATAATAATAATAATAATAATAAAATAAAAAAACAAAAACTAGTTATTTCAAAATTAACAAATTTTATTTACCCTGTAGTTGATTCTCAGGGTTAAAAGAATAGTAGCCGGTATGGCACCTCTCACTCCTCCTCCATCAATGGAGAGGACTAAAGGGACCATTGGATGACGGGATTAATAATGAAGACGGTGAACAAGTCTTGTGTTGTCGATTGGATTACGACCGGATTATTAACGAAGACGTGGTAAAATTCGATGACCACCGGATATTCATCAAATAGGGGG